TATCAGATAAGTATAAATAAGCAACATGTCTTCTCATGGTCCTAGATGTTGGACTAAGGGTTTTTGAATACTTGGTTTCAAATACTTGTTTAAGTATTTTCTGCTTGATTCTCAAGTTAGTTATTGTCCATATCCTTATCTTCTTGCATTTCCTCAGTGCTTAGTTATTCTAAGTTTCAATTTCTACCTTCCTCATTACCGTTTTATGTTCACTCATTTTCAGTATTCATAGTTATTTCCTGTTTTACTTTGGTAATAATAGTCATCTATATATTGTCTTTGGATTGACTTCTTGTCTGTCTTTTTCTTTTGTGGGTTCAGCTGGGTTTAGCTCCCCCTTGTTTCCACTTGTTATCTATATGTATTCATAGCTTCAGTTTGCCTGTATTCTTGGTTGCATCATATTGCGAGCCTGTTTCTGTGTCTTTCCTGAATTTTAGTAACTCTGCATTTTGGAATCTCTTTTGCCTCGATTTAGATTATGGAAAGTGTTAGCGACAATAAAGGCTTTCCTTTTGTTCCACCAAGTCTGTCTATTTGGTGGTAACTCCTGTAAATCTTGACATCTCATGCAAACCTAAGGAGAACCTTTATCAAAGTCAAAGTCAACTTTGTTGTCAAAAACTTAAGTGGGAAAAGTGGGAGAGAGTAGATTTTGAAGGTTTTGCTGGTTCTAAAAGGTTATTCTCATTTTATTCCAATTAATATGTTTACTGACAATAGGTATTTTCATTTTGACCCTCTGTGAAAAAACAGCTTTAGCTGCTCACTGTATAACTGTTTGGAAAAGAGCCGTCTAAAATGTGAATTTACACCTTCCCAAACAACTGCTGATCTTATGCACATGACACTCCCACCCTGCCCTTAGTGTACACGAAAAAGGGAACTGCCATTTGTCCTTATCTTGTAGTTCAGTCAACTAGAAGCAGTGAGAGAGTTTGCTCTATCATCAGGGCTGGGCATTTGATAGGATTCTGGCACTACAGCTAATCAATCTGCAGCACAGAGCTGCCAGAAGATGTGTAACAAAGCTCAAAGAACCTCACAAATGGTCCAGTCCTGGGGATTAGCCTCTGCACAGGATTAAATATTGATTTTGAACGTCTAAAAAAGCTTATTGTATAAAACTGCAGCAGACTACAAAAGTAGCGGACTCTATTCATGAATCTGTCTTTCAGAGAGGAGCATGAACTTTCAAATACAGAGACCCCGAGCATGAATCAAAACAGAAATAAATGGAGGAGAAATCAATGGCAGGGCTGAACTATGGTGGCACATTGTTAACTGGGGAATCACAAGTCTCCCTCACTTCTTCATGTTGGAGGTGAGAGGGTGGTATATTTGCTTCTTCTGATTGTGATGACTACTTTATTGTAAATCCTAAAACTTTCTCACATGATATTTTTGACGATGGGCCGTTTCTATGGGAGTTCTAGTTTGTAACTCAAGTACAGCTGAACAATTTAATGGTTTTATGAATGATTAAAATATGTATGAAGTCCAGGGTGTACCCTGCCTCTCATCCCATGACAGCTGGAATAGGCTCCAGGACCCTATGACCTTGAATTGGATAAGTGGAAGGAAATTGATAAATGGCTGGAAGTACTGGAGTAAATAGGCCTTTATTGGAAATGATTACGTGATTAAAAAAGCAAAATAGCAGCTTTTTTCAGTGATTGTGTGAATGTGTGCGTGAATGGGTGGATGACTGGATGTGTAAAGCGCTTTGGGGTCCTTAGGGACTAGTAAAGCGTTATACAAATACAGGCCATTTGCCATTGAGAAAACATGTTGCAAAAAATTAGATGGAAGGTCAGTTTAGTTCACAGGGAAAGCAACTATGTGGTAGACAACTGACGTTCTAGTAGCAGCCTGGGTTTAGGGAGCGTGGGTAAAGCCTGGTTCTGCCAGAGGTTTCTTCCTGTTAAAATTAATTTTTCCTTCCCACTGTTGCCAATTGCTTGCTCAAATTGGTCATTGAGTATTATTGTAGGGTCTTCACAATAAAAAATGTAAAGCATCATGAAGGGACAGTTCATGTGATATATATATAAGGTCTAGCCTAGGACCCTTACTGGATACAGACGCCCCAGGCGGAAATCAAACTTGCGCTCCTCTGCTCCAAAGGTATGTAGTCTAACCACTACGCTATCCAGCTGCTATTCGGAGCACTAGGTGCAGTGACTCCCAAGCTA